TCTTAAATTTCCTCTTCTAACGCCACATACCTCCCTTTCTCCAGCTTCCATTATCGACGACCCTTTACCAACTCCATCATCCCCGTACGTGTATGCTCGCGACACGAGAAAATTCGTTCGAGCCACGCTATCGATTTTATTTTTCCTCTGTGTGTTTCATATTTTCTGACATCGCGTCGAACGTTAACGAGATTCCGCGTGTATCCCCTTTTAACGTCACTTGGCCGTTGCGCCAAGCAAATGGCGATTCTCCATATTCATACGATCGTTACAGGGGAAACCTCTTTCCCGTCCCGAAACAGAAAGAAAAAAAAAAAAAAAAGAAAGAAAATTCGTCTCGACTTATCGGATACTAGTACTTTGAAAAAGTAGCGACCGCGGTGTAATTCGACGCGTGGCTCTATCCATTATCGTTGTCACGGGCGAGGATCGAGCGACCTCGTGTTTCTCCTTTCATCTCCTTCCGCCGAGGAATTTCGACACGAGATTCAGAAACAAAGCAATGAGGTTGGTCGGCGGGCGAACTCGTCGTCGAATTCCAATAATCTTCGGTTTCACAATGAAATATCGTTGCTAGTTACACACGTGCGCGTATACACACATGTATCGTGCGACCGCGGTGACGACGGTTTCGAGAAATAGCGAGGTTCGGGATACGGTTTCCGGGATAAAGTGGCGGCTTAATGGATTCGGTATAACGCGGCTGGCGCTGGTTCGGGATGTAAATGGGATTCGCCGGATTTCTTTGATGAACGCGCTTCTTCCCGGTGACAAACGACGAAACGATGATTTCTTGCATTTTCGTATCGAAAAAACGCGCGCTTACGAATTTCTCTCGACGGCAGTCGAACGGTTAATGGAAACCGTGGCAAAAGAGACGGCAACGTGCAACGTCATTCGCGCAGAAAACGCGGAAAGGGAAAATTAGAAAATTACGGTGACTCACTTCCTTGTGATAAATTTTCCCTTATGATTAATTACACGAGCTGGCCGTTCCCTTCGTTCTATCTGAAATTCCGATAGAAGAGAATTCAGGCCGCAAGAACGCGACTCGAAGAAGCAATAAAACCGATAACATTGTGGTAGTATTAGTTTCCTCGGCGAGGCACCGGTGAAATAACGTAGGAATCACGTGGTGTTTACACGAATTCATCCCGCGGCGAAATTCCTCCTTCTCCTCCTCCTCCTCCTACTTCCCCTCCCACTTTTATATTTTTAACCGCGCCCTATCGTGACTTCTAAATGCAAAATCCCGCGGCAACGTTCTATCCAACATTCCTCGCACGTTCCGCGCGTCCGCCTAGACCGCTTGAATTCCCGTCGATTCTTGCGCTAAGCAAGGCCCCTCCCCTCCCCACGTTTTTGACTTATCTCAACCTCGTCGCCGACGAGGTTTCGAATTGTCGAGGCTGCGTGACATTAATAATTAATGCGGGGAGGGGAGGGCGTATATACACGTTTGTACACGGCGATTGGCTCGTAGACATTGATCCCGCGAGGAAGAGAGAGAGAGAAAGAGACAGAGAGAGGTATAGATATGGTTTAACGAGGATATAAAAAGAAACGATGGAACGGCGAAGAGGTGACTCACGTCACCTATTTTACAAGTTCGCTCGAATGCAAGGTGGGATATATAAGAGGGGAATACACGAGGCGGTCGTTTTACACCGTGTTTTTCGTGTATGTGTATGTAGGTTGGAAAAGATCCAACAGTTCTTTCTGGAATGTTTCCAGCATTTTCTCCAACGTTTTAATTCATTTGTCAATTACACGCACCGCCTTACGGGAATAAACCCTCTTAATGACTGCGTATTTTGTTCCTTCGTACTTTTTTTCGTGAATTTTTCTCGAAGCTTCGCTTCGTAATACTTCACGCCGCGTGGCTCGGGAGGGGAGAGGTTTCGGTACGGACGTATCGGTAGTAGTAGTTGGTTCGAACAGATGTAATTACGGAATTGAATTTTAAATTTTCCGAATAATATGCCCGTTGCGCATATCATATAACGTGGATTCCTGATAAATAATGCTTCCTTGGAGAAATAATGCGAGGAACAGCGGGCTTCTAACCTGATGTGTATATAATATAACTTTCGAGCAAAACCACCAAGAATATAATCCGTATAGATATATAGAAAACCATTGGGTTGAAAATCATAGTTATATAACTCTGCCACGTAACGATTTACAATTTTCCCGTATTTTTCTTCGACGAAGGAAGGAAAAACGAAACTACGACGGATACAATATATACCGACGCACCGCGAGGGAATAAAAGTGGCCATCCTCGTATGGCCGTATACAAATTTCCGAGAAAAGGGTCAAAATCGTTTCGCGTTTTATTTCGAACAACCGAGCCCCCCTTTCGCCGAACGCCAACCGTGGACGAATCGTGGGGATCGAAATGAGGTCGAAGAGAAATTGGAACGAGCCGGACGATTCACGCAGCAGCCACAAAAAAAAGAAAGAAAGAAAGAAAAAACTATCCTTTGCATTTCTCGCCGCGATTCGATTTAAGCACGGACAAACGTTCGATTCCCGTACCCTCTCGCGCGGGCTTGTCCAAGAAGATTGGATCGTATTGAAAGCGGGGATCTTGGAATTGGAAGGCCCTTCCATCCCTTCCACGCGTGATGAAGAAGTGTCTGGAGGGTATATAAAACGGTGTACCGAATCACTTACCTGGTATTGGATTGCCATGCGACCCTTTCCGGTCATTCCGCCCGGCCGAACGCGATCGACAGAGACGAAGCCGGATAAATTATTGACCCCGACCCGATCTCCCCACCTTTTCGCGGCTTGAATACCGAATGCGCGCACGAATTCTCATCCAGAGGAGCGGGATCACAGGGATGAAACAGAAACTCGTCACTCACCGTTAAATACACTTTTTCCCGACCGTTCCCATTCGAAATGGGAATGGTTGTAAATCCAACGTGCTTGTATTATGCATTCAGAGGGGACATTGATGAACGACAGTCTCTTGTTTCTCTGACTTTTCCCGCTCGACTTTTCCGAATCGCATCCCGTCGAAAAGTTTCGAATGATCAATAGTCGAAAAATGCAACGCGGACGATCAATGCAACCTCGCCCGCCGTTCACACCCTTCCAATGTCGTTTACCATTCGCATCTCCTCTGCCCTTTCAATCGAGACTCTCATGAATCGGTTCTACGTGCCGTTTCATATAACGCTCCACATCTTCTCTCTCTGTCTTCTTTCTCTTTTTTTTTTTTTCATTTTCTAGATCCTTTTCTTCCCCTCCGCGCAGAAACGCGCAGTTTTGAATAGCATTATTGGCGACCGATTGTCTTCTCTGCAACAAAATTCTTGTCATCTATCAATCTAACTTTATCTCTCGATCGAGTGATTTAGCGTCGTGATCGGGATTTGATTCAGAGATTCGTTCATCGGCGTACTGTTGGAAAATCATTTATCACTCTTTTACTTTACTTTTCGTCTCTTCCTAAATTTTCTTTTCTCGAGATTATTGGTTCGAGATTGGAAGAGTGAAATTTCCCTCGAAGCAAATTTTTCAAAATAGAAATTATCATTGATCTATGATTAAAAATATATACTAATATTAACTAGATCATTCGTGAAACAGTATAATTATGTAATATAAATTTAATTTTTATAAAATATTCATACATCGATCGATCATAATTGAATTATTGCCTCGATCCGAAATTTTGTGCCAATAAAATTTTAGAATAACGTTCTGCTCGAAGTTTGTTTCCGAGTACGGGATTACGAAAGAAGATTTATCGTAAAATTAAGAGTTTGCGAAGGATCTTTATATTGGGTCGTTTAACGATGAAGAGACTAACAGGGAAGAAAAATAAGGAAAATGAATGTGGGATGTTCATTCTCGAATGAAGAGAACCAGGTTGGAAAGAAAATTAAATCGTCGATAGAATCACCGATAATAATTTCCATCTTTCTGATTCGATTCTGGATCATAAGTCGATCCGTGAATGAAGTTGATGAAGTCGTATAAGAAATTCAACCGGAGTAATGCTCTTTGCATTTCGCAATTTAACTTAATCACAGATTGAACATTTGTATTTTTTGTTGCGAGATCTTTCGATGAAATTGAATTGTTGTTTAGCTTCTTCGAATGCTAATCAACGAAACAATACGATATTCTGTTGATTCATATGATAATCATATGATACAGGAAAGAGGAATCAATATTTTCGATGAATTCGATATTTCAACTGTCTATTCGAATGAACAAATGGAATCACAGTCAGACGATTTTTAATATAACCAGATGACATTTAGTCGTATGGATTATTGTGGATGATGTCGAGGGAATTTTATCGGGAAACGTAAAGCCTCTTCTCTTGAATTTAATATCGGAAACCAGAATTTTTGTTGCTCGTTTTCGTCGACGTTGAAGTAAAAAAGTAGACGGAAATATGGGAAAAATGTCAATTACATTGACGGTTTTCGGTCGAAAAGTTCGCGAACTTTGTGTCTCTGGCTAGCACGAATCATGTTTGCTCCCCGCTTTTCCCTCCTTCGCGTACTCTGTTGCACCGGTGGAACGAAATCAAAGAAATAACGAGGTTAATAAGGGAGCGTAATATCGAAGGGATGGTAAGGTTATTCGTGCTAGGCACGATCCTTACGTTTCATTCAGAATTATTTCGAAGGATGATACTCCGGGTCTATGGAATTGTTTATAGAAATTGCATCGTATCGGTGAATATGAAATCCATTATCTATCGGCAACTTTTCTGCACGGAATCTCGAGGAAATAATAAATCCGAAATAATAAATTTCACCGTATTGTATACAGAGGTACAATTAAATATAGTAATAAGTGAATTTTCAATTTTAATAATAATTCAAGACAATAAATTCACTTCGAAAAATAATTTTCGAATTCTAGAAGTTTTGTTCGGAATTATCGGAATCATAGTAGGTAATAAATCATTTTAGTTGCCTTTATGGATTGTGGAATTATTGGACAATGACTTATCACGTTTCACTTACCAAATATAGGATTCCCACGATGCGTTGCTAAACCACCAAGCGTGAGTACGTGCGAGTGATCCGCCGTTACGACGAGAAGCGTCTCTGACAAGTCCACTTCCTTCATCACGGCCCTCACAGCTTCCTCCAGAGCCAATGTTTCGTCCAACGCTCGATAAGCATTGTTATAGTGATGCGCGTGATCGATTCTGCCACCTAGAGATAGACAAATGGACCTTTCCCGTTTAATCATACGTCTGACAGAGAGAAATTAGTACAGAGACCGATTGTAATAAACAAATTGACAGATATAAATGACAAAATTTTATTTTATAATATCGATAGAAAAATAGATATCGTCGAAAAAGATACATGGAATAATTTGAAAATGATTAGAATAAAATTTTGTGAAGATGAAAATTATTGATTCTTTTCGTCACGAAGAATTTTGTATATTTAAACATCGTTGATAAAAACATCGTCACGAAACTGATTATCACACGCAATAGCACTGATATGAACTTCATAATTTGTAAATATTATTTAAAGCGTAAATTTTGATTGAAAAAGATTCTCGAATTAAGAAACACTCGACCATATGATATAATACACCTTTTCACTGAACTATCTAACCAACAAGTTTTATTCAGTTGAGAATCAACTTTAGATGCACTTTGAAAAACTCTCGACGCGAGTAACTTTAAAACCAATATTGTCACTTCGTAGGAAGCTATCCTGTAATCGTATTAACGACTTTAATATTTTTTAAGTATACTTTTGAGTAAACTTTTAACTTTCTAAAAGCATCTAGGTGCAGATGTTATAAATAGAAAGATAAATATATATTCCTAATATTAAATACTTTGTGCATATACTAAAGAATATTAAAGATATCATAAAAAGTAAATTTGAATCCAAACGAGGATTATGTCATTCTTCATACATTGAAATGTATTTTTAATTTATATAAATGTAATTTTATTTCTCTTATTATATTTAATAAAAATTATAAATATCATAAATAATATATAAAATTATAAAATGAAAGCATATCTTATCTAATCTTACTATAAATATATACTCCTTTATTTTTTGAAATATCACATTTTGAAATATAAAATTGTTCAAAAAAAAACGAAAAATGTTCAAGTTTTAATGATTTATAATGATTCAACTTTTAAATAATCCATAATAGCGAGTTGAGAAAATCACTTTAAAAATTTTCTATGTAGTTGGATTATTACGAAATTCACGTTTAATAATTCTAGAAAATTCATTTGCTTTCTTTTATTCACTTTGTCACCACTTTATAATGAAAACCGAGAAAAGGAACGAAAACGACGATGAAATTACAGAGGAAACGAGCATCATCAGCATTACCGTGGAATTCGCGTTTGGTAAAACAGCATGGCCATTGTAGTTAACGCTAATTATTCAGAACGATCCACAAGAATTCGAGATTCAATTATCAAGCTAGCAAACGACACGACGCTGACTCTGGAATAGATTACTGAAAGTTCAACTTGAAGTTAAACGCGTCACTTAGAAACGATCCAAAATGGCCGAATCGATATTCGATATATGTGGTGACGCTATAGTGAAGGTAAGCATATATGCAAGATGGCGGAAATTGGATCGAAAGCGTGGAATCGAATCAGTTCCAGAACGAATCGAAGCAATTGGGAATGAAACGGGATAGGAATTCGACCTTAGAGTATCACGCTAAAAGGTTTAATAGTATTCGGTATCACTTGGCTCAGCCAGACGGCGCCGTGGCTAACTGCAATGATTCGGTTTTACGATCGAACATTAATTCTGTCTCGACCACGTTATGCGGAAATTGTAAATGAATGCGTTGTTTGTGCAATATAAATATTGTGTAATATAAATGTGTGATGTAATATATTGTAAATATATACTGTTTCGAACGATGAAGAACATTTATGATATGAAATATAAAGAACGAAGTAAAGAAGATCGTGTGAATGACACAAGCAAAGAAAATTAATACATCGACGACATGTATTTCGTAGCAGAAATTCAGGTAAGCTCATTTTTCGATTAACAGCAATTGAAATAATCAATGAAATTACATTCGAAAGAAAATTTTTATGCATATATTTGATAATTGTCTGTGAATTTTTCTTGTAATGAAATGAAATATTTGATGTTTAAAAATTTTGATAATTACATAGTCTATGTATAACATCGATGATGCATATCTTATATTCTATGAATATTTATGATTTAGATATAATTATTTCAGAAACTATTGCGTCAAATTTAGCCTTATTTCAGTGTGACATTATTACAGTTGCACATTACTATCGAAATTATATCAAATTTACCAATCCATGCGTTATAATAGAATCATAGAATTTCAATATGAGTATTCACACTATATCGTGTCTCTGCATAGTATGCATCATGTAATTCAGTCTTTCTCTACGTTAGTGGAAATAATTGCAGGATCGGAGTTAATTACTAATATATGTGTTAATTACTAATATATCATTCGATACAGTATTGAATATTAATTTAATCTATTTATATAATTTTTACATTGAATAATTCTATTCAAAATAATACAAAAAATAATAAAAGATATATTTATATTGAAGTATATTTTAATTAGAGAATATATTCATTTCTTAGTAATTTTCATTATAATTTCTTCAATTAACAATATTATATAACTGTACATTGAAAGAATATCGTTTCGTATCAATGAATAATTATATAACTACATCGATTGTTATCCGTGAAATATTTTTGCTTCTGTTTATTGCAGCAAACGTTGTTCCAATAAATCACCAGTTGCAATAAAACACGAACAACTACGTCTACCGAATAACCCCACTGAGTAAAACGATATTTCTGCCTGGATATTTCCACAAATATTCAATCGTTGATCTCACCGCTTCGATGTTTCGTATTATTTTGAACGTATTCTTTGTAATCCAAGATTGCAAAATACATCAAATGAATCGCCTTAAAAGTGAAAATGTTTCGTAAAAAGAAGATATACTTTTTTTTTTTTTTTAATATACTTCATGAAATTATACATTAGTTTTATTTTCGTCTAAGATATATAATATTATATAACCATATATTTATATATGCGCGTACAACGAGTATGCGTGTTAAAGCACGATGATTTTTTAATTTAATTTAATATAACAGATATATTATTATTAAACATTCTTTCAAAATGAAACGCTTTACGGTATTATTGATTTGAATTAAAAAAAATTAATGGACCGGAAAAATGAAATTGATTTTTGAAAAATATTACGTTAACGATTCTTTTGGGATTGAAACTTATATTATAATATAATATCCAAGTGCCAACAAAAATTATTTCGAGAGATTAAAACGCGAAAAATTTTTATTTTTCATTTCTACAGCATTCCACTGTGAATTTAATTTCATCGATTATACGTGCACAGCTCGTGATGAAAAGTTTTAATACGCTCATAATGAAATTAAATGATAGTAGTGCGCATTTTGTAGCAAATGAAATTCGTTGTTTGTAATAATCGGAAAAATGAAAATTTAAGGTGCAACAAGGATAAATTTGAAATAATATCGCATTATTTTTCATTTATTTGATTTCAAGCAATTTACAAAAACATGCATAAGTTTTGTCGTTTTGTTTTCATAAATACATTGGATAATAGAATTTTTTTTCGCTGTATAAAAAGTATTATTGCGCTTTTGTTTAGAAATAGAGATTCGGTACTTTTAATTGGTTTTCGCTGATATTTGAAACACGATAGCAACAAAATTTTACTATTGGTCACCAATACTGTTATTGAATAGAACAAAGTTATTTGAAAAAGTTATTTTATTTGATATTATTTTATTAGCAATTAAATTACATATATATATATATATTTACATTATGAAAATTTTTCAAAGTAGATTAATATTTTTCACGAGAAAATTTATATCAAAAAATTTCAAAATCCGATTGGATTAAAATTATATTATACATGAAAATTTCTGAATAGAGAATAAAACAGATATTGAATTAATCTTTTGTTTCAAATAGATATGATTTCACTGACTGATAAATTCAAAATAGCATTATTTGCAATTAGTCAACGAATAAAGAAACGACCTAATTTGCATTTCAATTAAATTCCAGTATTTAAGAACCCTATAGAATTAAGATCTCTAGAAGAGATTCGCAGAATGCTCCGTAATGAACGTGCTTATTCGAACTAATGTCGCTGCTCCTTCCTTCCTGTCCGAATTTCAGAATTTTAATCTGAGCAATCTATGACCAATGTGACCGATAACTCATTTTAATACGTCGATTTATATCGATGATCGTATCTATTAATCCTTGTCGATCTGAATATTTTATTTTTTGAAAAAAAATATATATATATATTTAATTATTCCACGCGTTTCGGAAAATAAGATAATTAAAAAAGATTTCTTGTAGAAATCGTCCGATCTAATTAAAATCAAAAAAATATGCAGATGCAAATGATCATTCTTTTTAATTCTCCTTAATTTCCATGCTTGTGATTTTTCATCCATCGAATAATTTCCTCTCGAATTTCCTTTTCTAAATATGTTGACGAAAATAGACTCTTAATACGATAGAAATAATGGGAAAATAAATGAAAAAGGAACATTTTAAATTAGATTTTTCTCTCTTTTTTTTGTTCTTCTCTCTCTTTTCTTCTTCTTCTTCTTTTTTTTTTTTTTTTTTTTTTTTT